TAAAAATATAGTTTCTAATACAATATTGTAGTTTATACAAAGGATTACAACTTTCATTATTGCACTTTTAGTAATTTCTTATAAAAATTAAGACTTGTCTTAAGAGTAAAGATTTTTTTTAAATATGAAAACATATAAAAGTTAAGAAAAGTTAAAGAAAAAATTTTATAGTAAAAATTTTGATACAAGAACTTTGAACTTTTATTATACTAAAGTTTTTTAATAATTTTAGAAAATTTTCTTAACAAAGTTTATAAAACAAATCTAAAATTAAATATTTTATTTAGAAAATTTATAGCTAAAATCAATATTTAAGATTTTATTAAAAAAATTAAAATTTTAAAAAAGTTTGCAAGCAAATTTGCTTGCAATACAAATTAAGGGATAATCTTGGTTATATTATCTAGTAATAGGAGCTGATATAATAAATTTAAAGAACTAAAAATCTGTTTGAAAAGTCCTAAGTTGGAATATAATAGTGATCTTTAATAGTGTTACAGAAGGGCTAAATTTAAACTAGAGCCTAAAATTAAACTAGATATTTAAGTAAAAAATATATATATCAGCTAAATTGCTAGTTTAAATATACTAAAGGAAAAGAGTATATATTTTGAAAGTATATACTAAGAAGAAAGAGACCTAATTTTTTCAAGTTGTTAATTGGAAGCAAAAAAGAAACTAATAAAAAATTTAAGTAAGAAAATAGTTTGAATAGAAATACTGAGATTGTTGTGAATCTTACAAAAACAAAAGTAAGTAATAGATAACTAATTAGAAATGTTATAGTTTAAGATATAAATTAGATTATAATAGCATTTTAAAAAGTAACTTAGTTAAGAAGAAGTTACTAAATACACAGATGAATATATGTGTAAAACATGTATTAAGGATTATCTTAAGAATAGTAAAGTGTTTTAAAATAGCTAGTAAATATAGAGTATTGCAAAAACTACCAAATATATTGTAAATTATATCCATATTAGGTAAGATTAGGCTAAATATATTAAAATTAGAAAATTTAAATGAGTAAATCTGTAATTGATTACAGATATAGCAGATAGTGTATTGTAGAACCTCTAACATTGCACTAATGCTTTAAGTAAACTACTTAAATTAGATACCAATAGCTTGATATACTTTTGTTATAATATATAGTGTTTAATACTTAATTAATAAAATCTTGCCAACTAAAAAGGTTCTTTTTAAATTTTTTTTTTTAAAAAATAAACCTTATAAATAAATATATATATCTATTTTTTATTTTGTAAGTATATACTAATTGTCTGACTCACTTATAAAAACTTTTTTTATAAATACAATTATATAATTACTAGCTAATTAAATTTATTATTTTTAGGCTACTAATACTATATTTATTACTAACAATAATTATATTGTGATTTTATTAGTATTTTTTAATTATAACCTTTTCTAAATACAGTATATACTCTAAAGCTAGTTCTGGCAATATGTATTTAACAAGATTTAACTATATATAGTTTGAACATGTTCTATATATAGCACTGTATATAGAAGGTTATAAAATAAACTAAATAAGTTAATATTTGTAAAATAGAAAGTAAAAAAATAGCTTTTTATATATAAAAAATATTAAAATATTAAAATATTAGTTATTTAAATATTTAATAAAATACTAGTATAAACTACTAAACAAGAATAAAATAATATATACAGTCTAAAAAATTCTGTGTTTATAAGCAATTATGTTTGTATAAAGGTCAAATTTCTTATGTTTTATATAAAGTTGTTCTAAAAATTAGTGTGCTTATAAAGAGTGTATAACTATATAAAGAGTGACTGTATAAAGGGCAAACTGTATATATTTAACACAAAATTTTTATATTAGTATTAGCAGTTTGAGTTAGAATTAGAGTTTGAAAAAAGATTTTAGAAGCATATAGCATTTTATTTAAACTATCTTGCATTGAATAATTAACCAGCTTTTGAAATAATAAAATATAAAACATCATAAATGCGTTTTTGGTAAAGTCTTTTTATAAAATAATAAAAGCTAAACAAATTTTTTTATAATATATTATTTTTAATTTTAAACAATAATATAGTAATAATATAGTAAAACTTGATTAATAATTTAAAAAATTTTTATTAAGTTTTTTGTTAAACTATTAATATTTAGTTTTTAAAAAAAAGTTTCTAAAAAAAAGTTTGCAATGTTTCCACGTATTAACACAACCTCAAATATTTGTGTGTTTTTTACTTAAATATATCTATGATGTTTTATCACCTATGCCGTATTAGTTTAAAAACTGGTTCATTAACTAGTATGCGGTGTTCTAAGTGAAAATATTTTACGCTTTCAAAAACCCCTAATTCTAACCTAATTAATTCTAACCTAAATACCAACCCAACATGAAAAATTATTGCTAAAAATTTTCGAAAACTATATAAAAACATAATTGGTACAAACCCGACATAGGTACAGGTGCGTTTTACGTACGTACAGTACGTACGTATAATAAATGAAATGATTTGTTTTTTTTAAAAAAATCACTATTTACAAAAAGATATAGATTAAGATTTAATTTTTAAGATAATAAAATATCGTATCTAGTACGTACGTATCAGGTATGTGAAATCTTATTATAATCTTTGTTACGTAATTATTTGCAAATTATATACGTATCGTACGAAAATATAGAATTTATTTTTAATAACTTTTTTTTAATAGGTACACTGTACGTATTATATGTATACAAAATGAACAGTATTTATTTTTTCATGGTTTTAAAAAAACCACCATTGTTAGAGTACAGTAAGTAACACAAATAAAATGATTTAGAAATACGTAATAAATACGTATATATATAGTAGAGTGTAAACTAATAAATATTTTTAACAGAACGAAAAAAAATATTAAGAACAGGATATTTCTAGAAATCACTGGTTTAAAATTTAGATGATGAAAAATTAAAATCTTAATCTGGTAACACAAATTCATAATACGAAACATGTAACATAAAAATTAAACATTAAAAGAATAAAAATTTCATACTACTTAAACAAATTTATTCATAGTCGTTACACATTAAATCAGGACCCTGATTATTTAATATAAAAAATTAAGAGACGAGATCTTTACTTACTACGTATAAAGAAAAGGCAGTATTTATTCTATGAAACTGAAATTTTAGGAAAATAGCACATGTAACTTTGTAAAAAAAGAATTTTTTTCTTTTACATACGTACGTTGTTTGTCAAAAAAAGGCGCCAAGAAATAGAGATAATGTATTCGAAGGTTCAAAAATATTATACAATAAATATACTTCTGTACTATAGTAACTATTGTAGTAACTAGTGTAGTATATCGACGTACGTAGGTACGTTACGTATGTATGTATATATATATCAGATATACAGTATATACATACGTATTCAATATATTTTTTTTATTATTTATTAAATTAAAAAATAAAAAAATAGCATATATTCATATTTATTATATTTATTTCATTTCTCACGATGGTTATTACGTACTCGTACTCATGCAAACGTTTTAGATTTTTTTTTTTTTTATAATAAGTTTATGAAACCGAAACGAATTGTACAGCGTAAATGTTAAGTTTAGATGAACGAATAAATTTCTAAAAAAATTTATATTACTCGGCCTTTTAGTAATGTTTCATGTGGTGCGGGATGACTATCAAAGTCGGTTGTGAGCGAAATCACGTGCATTGCTCAATTTATAATTCCGGTCAAATTTAAAAAAGATCGTCAAGCAAAATTAAGATTAATGTTAGCCTTAAGTAAGTTGAAAAAGAAAAAAAAAGCAAGAATTAAAAAAGACTTATTTTTTTTTGAAATTAAACTATTAGTTAGTTGTTGTACGGAAGATGTTTGTTCGAGGATTTAACGGAAATCCTTTGGCTTGCATTAAACAATGGGAAAGGGATAAAAATGGCCGACTTGAAGTTGTCAAGAATATATTATCATAAACAGAAATGTTATGATTAAAGATTAACTAAATTGTAAAATAACTTGATGATCGAACCGGATGACAAACACGATTCATAAGCTTAAATGAATATATATAACAGGGTATGGTTAAATTCTTGATTAGGTTTGTGATGTGATGAAATAAAGGGGGAAGTGATTATTGAAAAGAAAAGGGACCTACCCTTTTTAAAAAGTTTTTTGTGTTTTTTTGGGGTACACTATCAGGAAAAACTTACACACGATTCTTTAAATAAATTCATTCATTCAAATTTCATTGAAAAAAATATGGGGTGCATTTAACCGACATCCGTGCATCACAACATTACATGTAAACAATGAATGATATTATGAAAAAAAAAATTAAAAAATCTTTTTTTTTTAAAAAAAAAAAAAAAAATGTCCGGAGTAAGAAATGTGTAAGAATAGTGTAAGAATAGTGTAAGAATGTTATTAGATGATCAACAAAACAATCGTACTGACAATATGATGCGGCACAGGAGACATCAGAAATAAACCATAATTATTATTTTGGTAAAAATGACATGTTACTGTAGACGGGTTTTTTTTTTTATCATAATATTACTGCGCTGGTATTTGCGTTTAAGTGATATTACATCAAGGGGGACAAGGAGAACAGTTTTTCTCTGTCATTGTGCTTAAACGGAAAACTTAATAGTAAAAGAAGAATTACTCAGAGATGATTGTTAATTTTTTTTTTTAATGCAATAATTTTTACAAATATTTTTTTTACAGTAATTTTTTACAGTAATTTTTACACTATACGTATAGTTTATTGTTATTTCTATTTGTGACATATCATTATGACCGTGCCACCATCAATAGAAGATTGATGATACCCGAAACGGCCTTATACATAAAGCATTTTAAATATCCATTTAATAGTATATGTTTATGTAAAAAACATCACCTTATATAAATTTCTTATTTTAGTACTTTAAAATCTACAAGGGTTCAAAGGGTAAAAGAAATAACCGGCCGAATTGTTTTAATCGATTAAAAAAATCGATCTGAAAAAAAATGTTTCATGACCGAATTAAGTTAACAAATCTATTAAAAATTAAAATTTTGACAAAAGATCTGAAAAAAAAGAATCTGAAAAAGAATCTAACAAAAACATTTGACAAAAATATCCGACAATACTGTAAGATGTGTAAGATGTGTACGTAATATGACAAGAATTGCATGATCAACTACTTAACAATGGAAGAACATTATTCTTCTTAAGAACAATTTAAAGATTTTGATAATTCTGTAATTGAGATAATTGAGAAAAAAATTTTCTGGGGTATCAGGATATCAGTATTGGGATAAAAAAGATTTTGTAATATAGATTTAATTTAATTTTTATCACCTTTATTACGTTCGGTAATTATCGGTTAACTTTCGGTTATAACTGTCGGTGAATCGCTTAAGAGATTTCAATAACGCCATAATTATTACATTACATATTATCATAATTATGATAATTTGATAATTATGATAATTATGATAATTATCATATATTACCGTTAGTTATATAGCATGATATATACAGTCATAATACCATAGTTATCATAGTTATCATACGTAGTAGTAGCTCATTATAACGACCATAATTACTATTAATAATTAATCACAATTTTTTACATAATCAACAAAGATCACCTCATTACTTAATTTCGATAATTTGTTTCCTTTCCTCGGAGAATTGATGATGGAGTTGTCCGAATTTATTATTTTTTTACTAATAAAATCATTTCTTTGATATTGTTAAAAAAGAAAAAAAAAATTTTTTTTCTTCTTGATGAAAGACCAATCATGAGTTCTTTGACGAATAATATAATCTGACACATGTATTATGCAAATGTATGTAGTTTATTTTATGATCATTCTTTATTTGTTCATGACAAGATCTTGAATGGTTTGTTTTTTTTTTCTTGTTCGAAACGTCTTTTTTTAAAAAAATTTCTTTATAAAAAAACTTTCTTTTAAAAAAGCGGTAAAGTAATAAACTAATATGCAAGAATAAAATTTTTGACGTACGCCATAATTCACATTTTCGACAAACTAGGAATTTTTTAATTCATGTCGTGAGACGTGTGAATTGGTACGATCTTTTTTCGTTTAAAAAAAAAAAAATTGTTTGTTATGGCTTATTTGAGTAACATAGCAAAGTATAGCAAAGGAAGTGAAATGTGGCATAGCAAGTAACATAGCAAGTAACATGGCAACAAAATGAACGTTAACATCGTTGGTAACAATTGTAAGTAACATACTGTAGGTAACATACTGTAGGTAACATACTGTAAGTAGCATACTGTAAGTAATAATAATGATAGGTAGTAGTAGTAGTAGTAGTAGTAGTAGTAGAATATACGGTAACGACATACTGTATAGTAATACTGTTAGTAATACTATATAGCAATACTATATAGCAATACTGTTAGTAATACTATATAGCAATACTGTATAGTAATACTGTATAGTAATAATATAATTATAGTACTGTACAGTAGTAACGATATATAGTAACAATGTACATTAACAATATACAGTAATAAACATATAGTGGGACCAAACGGACAACTTCTAATAATAATCATCAAAGAATAAGAAATTCACTTTGTTTTAATTTTCGAAAAGAAAGATGATTAAAAATAAAATTTGATTGGCTAGTTATTAGTATGCCCTAATTTAGTACGTAGGAATAACATTCCTTTTTATAACTTTTAATACCTTTGTTGGGGTATCAGATCAACATCATATTAAATCGAACAATACATAAATAATCGTATGATTATACTTTTTTTTTTTTTTTCTTGAAACACCGCATTCATTGAGAACCCCTTTCGTTTTTCTATTCAAAAATGCATGATCGACCTTAATTCTCCTTGAAATAAAAAAAAAAACAATATTAATCGTTTATATTTTAATATTTTAATATTTGGGAATGGATTTCTTTAACGTTAACGGGTTAAATAAAGAACAATGCGCCACTAGATTCATTTCTATATTTATTCAATAAACGATAATAACGATAATTGAATCTTGGTAAAAAAAGAATCATTTTGAACATTTGATTAACATTTGATTTTGAGATATTATTTACAGTTATTTACAGCCATTTACAGTCATTACAGCAATTACAGTTATTACAGTTATTATAGTATATATGATGTTTATTGTCACTTTTTTTTCTCGGTACAGCTGTCAAAAAAATTCTATAAAAAAACAATGGATATATTAAATGTATTTTATTAAATAAATGGATTTTATTAAATGATGTATTTGAATGTATTTGAATGTATTGGTTGTATTTGGATAATAATTTTTTTTATTATACATATTCGTTCATACTAATAATAATGATTGTTAATTGGTTTATGCTTATACGTAAACTTTAATTAATAGTATGTTAAAAGAAGAATTTTTTTCTCCTATTCTTTTTATTAATTAACCTATTTTACAATTTTACAGATGAATCATCGTCAATCATTCAAAAAAAAAAAAAAAAAAAAAAAATTTATTTATTTAAAATTTTATTCGTAAAATATAATATAATATGCACTATGCTGTCATAGTAACTGTCATAGTAACTGTCATAGTATACTTTTTATAATAATAATTGCCTGTTATACTTTTTTAAGGATTTTCACGCATGAAGGATCGAAATTTACCTGGTCGCGTGGTTTGGTTCATCCTTTTTTTTGGGTGAATATTCATAATATACTGTACACTATATAGTATAAAGTTACGTATGTATCCCAAAGTACAAAGTTATACATATAAAGTTATGCACATGTTATTGTTAATTGTAATGGAAATATAATCAATCGGTTTTAGGTTATTATCCTTATAAAACGAAGACCTGAAAATCGGTTTTAGGTTATAATCCTTAAAAATAATATGTATATCTGTGTAAATGAGTATATTTGATCTAATATAGTTACTTGCGTACGTAACAGGTAAGTACCATAAGTACTCACGTACGTACGTAGGTAGGTAGGTATACGTAGGTGCGTACGTACATACTTGATACTTGACATTAACTTATCTGGTATGTACGTACGTACCTGGTAATTATCAACAATCACATTATAGTTACAGTATTAGCTATGCTTTTCTCTGAAACAATACGAACGCACGAGGAATTCATGAGTTATAACATAGCATACATTCTAACGTAAAAAAATCATAGATTCCCGGGATGATGATTAATTACCCTTTTGTAATTTTTTGTAAAACTACGTATACGTATAACAATTATATAACAATTATACGTATAACAATTATATAACAATTATACGTATAACAATTATATAACAATTATACGTATAGCAATTATATAACAGTATAACAGTACTGTATAAACTAACTAACCAAACATATCAATTAGAAAGAATCCAGAATTGAACATTGATAATACAAAATATACTGTAACGGTAACAGGTTATAAAAAAAAAATTTTTGATATTACTTTCTAAAAAAGTATATTCTAGAATTTTCGCGAAACTTACTATTTCATATTCATTCATTCATTCATTCATTTATTGAAACTATTCAATAAACTACCATTCATTCAGTTTTAAAAAACATTCACTTAACCATTCAAATCAATTATTCATTCAGTTAACTATCAATTCAATCAGCCAATCATTTCATTCATTCATATTTGTTTCTTATCAAAGAATAGGTTTCAAATTTTTTGTGATGTGAAAAACGATAATCAGAAAAAAAAAAAAAATTTTTTTATTTTTTTCATGTATGAATTATAATTGTAAATTCATTTGTAAATGTAATTTGTAATTGATAAAATCATCTGAGGTATCTAAGGAGAAAGTGTGGGAATTTTTAAATTATAATCATCGAATCTATAATTACTGTATGATTGATTTTTTTTTCGAAGAGAAAAAAAAACGAACGCTAAACTATAACTTGGTTTATAGCGCATTGGCACGCGATATTATCATTCGATAAAAAAAAATTACATAATATAGATATACACATATATGTATATATACATATACATATATATATATATATATGTGTACATATAATATTATTTTATTCAGAAATTTCATAAAAAAAAATTTTGTAAAGATTTATTATAAAAAGGTAATGATACAAATTACACAAAAATAGAGGCATGCATGAGCACGAGGGAACTGCTTTTACATTATAATGGTAGATTGTCATCGAACTGTCTGTCATAGATTGTCATAATCATAAAAATTTAACGTGCTAGTGTTTTTTAAGTAAAAATCAAAAATTTTAAAATTATTGTTCGACGAATCATTGAATAAATAAAATAAGATTTAAAAAAAAAATTTTTTTTTTTGCTTTTTTTCTATTTGATCGTTTCACATAACTTATAATCATACATTCTTTAATCATTTAGTACAAAGTGTGTTTCACATTTTTTTTTTTTTTCTTTGATTACTTATGTTTTCATGCATAATGATTTTCGGTAAACATTGAAGAAATGAAAAATTTTTTTTTGAATCACTTGAAAAAATTATCAAATAAGAATAAGTTTGGTGTGTAATTATTTAATCATTTACATACAAAGAAAGCCTCCTTTTATTCCTCTCTCAAATTATTATTATTAATATTATTATTACTGTATGATTACAGTATTATTATTATTACTGTAATGATTACAGTAGTTATTATTTACAGCATGATTGTTATTATTATTAACGTTAAATTTCTCGTTTCATTAGTGCATGATAAATGATTTTGAAATCCAAATTTGGAAAAGAAATGGTTTAGAGTGTGTGTAAGAGATTGAGAACGAAAAAAAAATCATTCAAAAAACCTGAAATATACCGGAAATCATTTTTTTATTAGCGTTAGTTAGCGTTAGTTGGTGTTAGTTAGTGTTAGATAATGTTAGTTAGTGTTGGATAATGTTAGTGTTAGATAATGTTAGTTAGTGCTAACTCCCATTAACTCACATTAACTCTCTCCCCAGATAACAGATAAACCGAGTAACAAAATAGTGAACCCAAATTATAGTTAACGTTAAGGTTAAACCCAAATCATAGATAGTCATAGGTAGGTAGTCATGGGTAATCAACATCATCAATCACGTCATCACTACGTCATTACATCAACAGCTATGTCAAGTACATCAAGTATATCAAAAGAACATCAAAAGAAGATCAAGGAGAAAACATTAATGAATCAAAAAAGTGCATGCGTGCATCTTTGATGCTTGATAACTGTATAGTTAATCAAATAGTAAATCACTTATTAAAAAAAAAAAAAACTTGATAAAATATCGAAAAATCAAGATTTAATTAAATCAGTAAAAAAAAAAAAGCTTGATAATTTTTTTTTTACGGATTAAATGCAGACAAAAATAATTCGTTACCCGTTATATCCCTTATATCTTTTTTTTTTTCGACGGTAAATATAGTAAAAAATTACCTGTATTAAAGAAGGTTTTAAGAAGATCAAAGAAAACAAGCGAGTAATATCAAGTTTTAAACTTCTTCTTTCCCAAGATCATTTTTTTTTTAAGCATGAATTTGTAATTAAATCGTTAAATCGTTAAATCTTTAAAATCTTTAAATCGGTTAAGATAAGACATTCACTGATATACAGAGTTATGTAATGATATGCTAAAAAAATTTTTTTTTTTTTTTTGTGCTTTCTTGTTCCTCAAATTTTATTTCATTTCGATCATTTCGAAAACAAAACAAAAAAAATAAAATTTAAAAAAAAAAATTTGCTAGAACTTTTTTAAACTACAATAGAGAACATTTGCTAGAACTTGTGTGTAAATATATATAAATTTTCTTGAAAAAAAAGCTTTAATCTTTTTTTTTTTTTTTTTTTTTTTTTTTTAATAATTTTACAAAAATTTTTTTGTCGTATATGTGATGTATTTAATATCGTAAAAAAATAATTGCTTATTTGCCTTATAAATCTTGTAAAGTCTAATTGTATATACAGAAAAGAAAAAAAAAAGTGCGAGGATATATAGCGTATATTCTTATATTGTTCATATTTTATGTTACTGTATGTTTATATTATAACCGTTCAAAAGGGAAAGCCAAAAAAAGGATATATGAATAATAAAAAAAAAAATAATAAAATGAAATGTATGTATACATATATTTTCGTAAAAAAAGAATTTCATGAAAAAAATCGTTCGTTCTTTTTTTTTCGTTTGTAAAGATGAACTCCAAAAAAATTTTAAAAAAAATTTTTCAAGAGAGAATTGAATGAATTGTACACAAGATTTATAAAAGCAAAAAAAATATATATAATAAATCGGGATTTTTCGAAAAAATAATTGGTACCATGAAAACCATGAAAAATAAAAATCGATGAAAAAATTGCAATTGTTCGTTTTTCTTTTTTTCTGGGAAAAAAAAAAAAAAAATTAATACAAAATTTTTTTTTTTCTAATAATTGTTGCGTTTTTTTATATATACCACAAAATTTTGTTTGTTTGTTTTATACCACTTTACCGACCGGCCGACCGATTAATTAATTTTTGAATTTTAATTGATTGATTTGATCAAAATTTTTAAAAAATTTTTAAAATTTGAATTTTTTTTTTTCCCAACCCCAAAACCAGAAATAATAATAATAATAGAGGGAGTAATGAAAAGAAATTTTGATAATAGGATTTTAAAAATTAATTTAAATCCGTATATCGTCTTCTAGTTTTCATATTTTGAACCTCAGGAGATTTTCTACAATTTTCTTCCATCTTAAAGTGACGACGAAGAGCATCGGTACGAGCGAATGCTTTACAACAGCAAGGGCATTGATAAGGTTTAACCCCAGTATGTACCCGAATATGTCTTTGTAAATCATGTTTTCTCGAAAAAGATCTTGGACACATTGGACATTGATATGGTCGAGCAGGTGAATGAGAACGAAGATGAGCCTTAAGATTATATAACCTGCTAAAAGTTTTTGTACATTCTTCATGAGGACATTTAATAAGTTGTTGTTGATTTTGTACAGATTGAGGTTGTTGAGCCGGTTGTTGTTGTGGAGATGAAGAAGTAGATGGAAGAGGATTTATTTGAGCGGGATTTACCAAAACTGGATTTGAAGGAAATTCATAAGAAAGTGGTTGCATAGATTGAGTAGTAGAAGAAATTGATCTATTATCAATATTATTATTTTGAATGGAAACAGGCCACATTCCATAAGCGTTATGAGAATTAATATTTGGAACGAGAGATGAATTATCATTTGGTCGAGGTTCATAAATGATAAAACGCATTTGATCAAAAGAGGATTGTACACCAGAATTTTGATGATCGATTGGAGAAGTACGAGTTATAAAATCTTGATAATATTGAGTAATTTGATCAGGATTTAAAGGAAAAGAAATATCATTTGAGGTAGGAGAAGTTGTTTCACTTGAAGTATCTTCAATGAGAGGAGGAGGATAATTATAATTAAAATGAGAATTATCAAATTCATTTGAAGCAACAAGATTAGGAGAAGATCCAGCACTCGAGACCGAATCCATTTCGAAACTATAAGGAAATTCAGATTTGATCGGTATAGTAGAATGAACAGGTTCAAATTTAACGGTTTGATCAGTTTCCTCATATTGAGAAAGTTGTGAATTTTGAGGATAAACCACAGTATGAACAGGTTGTTGAGGGGAAGTAGACCCTGAAATCGGCAACATAGGAAACTGTTCTTGTGGTTGCTGCGGTGGTTGTTGAGGTTGTAACTGTTTTTGAGGTTGATAAAATTCGGTTTTTACGAATTGTTCTGAATAATCGATAGGACCGAAGCTATTAAAGTTAATAGTTTCGTAAGATGGTTGTTCGATGAATGGCATATTGTTAAGTAAGCAGTTGTTGCCAGCGAGAGCGGTCATAAGTTTTTTGATAGAAAGAATAGGAATATCCGTTTCGTTGAAATATATATATTTGTTTTTCTTTGAGTAAATAATTTTTTTTTTTGAACTATTATTATTATTTTTTTTTTTTTTTTTAGTTTTTGTTTCTTGAAGCGTAAATAATCGAAGCTTATAAAATAAAATGGAACTTAAAAAAGTTATATAAATATATATAGATATATATATATATATATATATAATATGTATATTATATATATAAAAAGACGAACTTTCGAAGAGTAAAAAGACCTTGTTCAACAAGACTTGCGAAAGTTATAAAGTCTGAAGAAAAAGGGGTATTTTTATAAAAAAAAATAAAATATATATATAATAAACTAACAGGAACAAAAAACGGTTTGTTTGTTGTTGAGAAAAAAAAAAAAAAAAAAAGAGGGCGGGGAAATTTGCTGCGTTTTTATAGTAAGTAAAAAAATTAGATGCGTCTTTGAATAATTCGGATTATCTTACTCATACAATAGATACAGTTGATTGAAATATATTATTATAGTGATATACAATAGTAATGTAATGTATAAAAATTACAATACAAGTATACAGTATAAATGACTATACAGGATAATAAATGAACACACACACGGATGATTGATTAAAGATTAATACCGAACGACAAGAATTATTCTTTTGAGCTCTTTAAAAAATGAGATTTATTCGAGAGTTCCCGCAGACTTAAAGAATTAATAGGATAATTTTTTTTTTTTTTTTTCGCTTCAGTTTGAGGAAATGTAAGAGGTATATATACCTTGAAAAAAATGATGACTTATGCATTTCTGTACATCTGTGACTTGTCGAATACTCTTTGAAGAAAAAAAAAGACAAAAAGACTAGCCAATAAGTACTTTTTTTTCTATTAGTATAGCATACTTTAAAACATATATAAAAAAAAATTCTTTTTTATGTTATATATGTACGTACGATTGTATTTTTTTTTTTTATTTAATCTATTTTAATTCTAATTAATTCTAATTGTTATTATATAATAAAAAATTTATACAGTACTAACTAATGATATCATCGAAAAAAAAATAAATAATATTGTGACAAAGATTTTTAGGGTAAGTAAGTAAGTGTAAGTGACGATAATAAAAAATCAACCAATTTTTGGATGAATAATCGGACCCTTTGAAACCATGCTTACATAAGTTTCATAAGTATTTTATAAGTTTATCAACAAGGAAAAGTGGACCTACCTTTTGACATTATATTTTTAGAACATTTGACCTTAAAAAAAGGGTTATTGTATAACTGTCTATCATGGTGATTCGTATGACGTTAGTGATGGTAAAATTTACATCACAAGTCTAAGTCATAAAAGGAAAACTATTTTTCAACGGTCAATCGGGGGGATATCTCAATTCTTTTATAATGAATGATGTCACACCACATTCTGTACTACACTTTTTCAAATTTGTCAATACGCTTATTACGTTCACCATAAAGAGATGGCCCAACTTTAATAATTGATCTAATCTCTATCATGCTATTCTATCATGCTATTCTATCATGCTATTCTATCATGCTATTCTATTATTGCTATTCTATTATGCTATTCTCGATATTTTGTCTATGGTACATTTAGATGCTTCGATACTTTAAAGATATACTGCAGTAATTTAACTAATTTTCGACTAATTTTCAAGCAATCTTTAATCTTCAAGTAATCTTCAAGCAATCTTCGAGCAATCTTCAAATAATCTTCAAAAGTATCTTTTATTTACACTACAACACTACAACACTGCATTACTAACATACCATACTACTAACGCATTACCAACATACTACTAACTACTAACATACACTTTTTATTAACATACTCCCTCAGTTTTATTCACACTTTACACACTCTCACTTTACACATTACACTCTCACTTTACACCGGAACATGCTAGAAAATTAACGAATAGAACTCCCAATATTTTGATCACATGTAATACTGCAATAAGATACTAATACTGTAATAAGATCAATCAATTCCATTAACCAAGAAGTCGGGAAGATCTACCACCTTAAAGGTATGTGATACAACCCAATTATATTTGATTTATTTCTGGGAATTTCCCTCAAGACTTATATAAGACTTATAACGCTTGTAGATCCATTACCTTTCCGGAATTTCTTCGTAACTTTTTTAATTTCGCTATCATTGGTCTGTATTTTTGACAATCTAGTTATAAACATAAAGTAGGTTTCATCGTTAAAAAGTTTACTTTATGTACAGTACGTACGTACGTACGTACTCAAAGTATTTATTATTTGAAACTTGTAACTTTACCCTTTGTTCTATAATTTTTTAAAAAATTTTTTATCTTTGTTTAAATAATTATCGTTTTATCTTTTAAGTTTAATTTATCTCAAAAAAAATTTTAAGTTTTGGTCAATCTGGGAAAGAAAATTTCACTTAATTTAAAAAAATGAATGGTCCGTCCTCAAGGTCTGGACAATTTATTATTTGATCGTCAATTAAATTATCCGAAAATGATTATCAATGTGTCGATTACTTTTTCATTTTTGAAATTAATTAAACCAGTTCATCTTTTATATAGTCATAGTTAACATTATTAGTTTAACTTCAATAGTTATAACGTTTTTTAATATATAAAAAAAAGTTAATTAATACTTATCTTTATTTATTATATTATAAATTTATTATATATATTATTAATAATTATATATTATATTATATATATTATTAATTATTTTAATAAATTTATTATATTATAAATTTATAATTTATAAATTAATGTGATGTTTTTTTTTTATCACATAATGTTATTTTCAAAATTATATACATATCAATTGAATACTGCATAACTAAATTTCTTGTCCTACACTTACTACGTATCATTTACATTTACATTTTTTATCATATCAACATCTTTTAATAATCTCTTAACGTTAATACTATCACCCATTTTTTTATTACCATATTTATAAAAGATTACAAATGTTGTACGTACGAATAATACAATCATACAGTAAACATACTTTCTTTTTTACTTTAATAAATGATCTAACTGCGTCATATTCATTTCTTCTAATCTTTTTTTTTATTGATTTTTACCTACTTAAGAATTATAAAAATTATTTAAGAATTACTTAAGAATAAGTATAATACATACGTAAGTATCTACAGTAGTATACTTGTACTGTATGATTATAACTTGATAACTATAACTTTATAACTTGATAACTATAACTTTATAACTTTATAACTTTATAACTTTATTACTATTTCACATGATCTCCTATATTCACTTATACGTATATATTATATATCTTGTGTTATACCTGTTTACTTTTATATTTATTTACTTACTTTTTTTTCCTTAGCTTTAGGTAAATATTAAACAAAATTTTACTTTTGGTTCAGGGTTCAGTATAATATTTGGTTAAAATATTTTACTTCGCTTAAACCTGTTAATTTATTTAATTTATTTTTATTTAATCTATTTCATTTTATTTCATCTTTATTCCTACTTAAAGCAAAGCGAAAAAAAAAATTACCTATCAAAATTTCTACGTATTAAAATTTATTATATCTATCTTCGTGTAACCCATCATTATGCACGCTTCCGAAATTCTGACTCCCCTTCTTTAATCTGCATCCTTAATTTCCCGCCACTTTTCTCACTTTATTATCTTTACTGTCTTCATTCTTCTACTTTTTACTATTATGTCTTGTAACAATATAAATACTTTCCCGGATATTCGGTTATTAACTTTATCGTGTTGCTTTTCTTTTTAATCGGCACTGGTGAAACCTTTATGTCAATACTTTTCTACATTGTACAAATATTGCCTAGTCATTTATCTATTTATTTGTCGTACATTATAATCGTACTAGCATTCATTTAAAATTACATCATGTCATGCTTTATTACAACAATGCTTTTTCTGATATTCGGTAAGATGGTCCGATTTCGGTATTCATGACTTCATTTTGCATACACTTTTTCGTAATCTTTTGTTATGTGTACTACTCTAATACAATTTTATACATCTGCCATGCATAATTGTCTGATCTTAGCTCACTACCCTTATTTGGAAAATATCTATACACTATTTTGCTTACATCAGAATCATTCATTCATACGTACCGGTACGTCTAATCCAAATTATATCAAAAATCCTCTTTTTTAAATTGTCTTTCATAGAAAAATAACCCTTATTTATTTTTTCTAAAAAATCCTTGTAATCTTTTTTTATTTTTGATTCATGCATCGTTTAAACTTCTTATGTTAAATTTCTTATGTTAAACTTATTATATTAACTTATTATGTAAAATTTTATCTTAATATTAAATATAATAAATATCGATAAATCTAATATAGAATTTAATGTTTATAAATATTATACTGTACGTTACGCGTATAGTAATCATGTACAGTAATTACAGAACTATTTGTATAAATTACATTTTCAAAGCGTAATTTCATGACTCGGGATAGTGAAATGTTCATTATATTATACTATTTATCATGCAGTTATATAATGCGTTATCGTTATGCATATTGCATTTATAGTGATAATAATTTTTAATTTGCTTAATTTGTCTTTAAATATTTTACGTATTCTAAAATCTATTTATCAGTTATTATGTACTTATTGTAACTTATATTCAATTTTGAAAAAAATTTTTTTTTAAATTAAATTTAATATATAGTTTAAAAATCTATTCAAACCCAATTTTTAATTTATTATAATGAAAAGTCCAATCAATTCAATACTTACTAAAAAGAAATGTTTTGTAAAGATTTAGTTTCTAT